TAAGAACCAATTTGTTTTCTTATGGCTGGAAGTAATCACCAAATCAATTGGGTAAGCTGTATTTTGTAACATTCATTTTCTCACTGTCCTCCAGTTTGCAAGACCTGGAGCAAGATCCTTGAAGCAGAAACCTGCGGCTCCATGAGAGCTCCAGGATCGAGTGGTTTCACAACACTTAAAGAGCAGAAGCCGCCAACCAAATACAGGAGGGAGCATCAATAAGTGGATGTGCTGACCCAAAGCAAGGCTGTCACTTGGTAAGTGACGTTAGCGCGTTGATGCGTCATTCTGAATGAATTTTGGGCAACGTGGGAACATTTTTCAGTTTGTGCTTGGGGAAACAATGGCTGCTTGGTATTTGCAAGACATACGGACAAAAATATGCTTCTTATACATAGGAAAATATGCTTGATTACTCAAAAAGAAGCATTTGCACTGAGGATTTTTAAACTGCTGAAGCTTGCAAGTCAGCCTATGGTGAGAATTGTTCCTGTGCTCTGTTATACAGTGAAATTATGGGTATGGGCAGTCAGAAGCCCTTGAGTCACCGCAGCTTTATGAGCTGCTGATCTCCATTTGCACTGCTTTTCTCATGTCAGTCACAGTCCTTTGTAGTTAGAAAGCTGAGTTTGTGTCTGGTGGATAGGATTTATTCCATTTTTAGTTTTCAGCCTGCTGTGGAGGTGAGTCGAAGTGATGTGGGCAGGCTGAAAGGGTGCTGGATCTGTTCAGAGTAGGAAGGAAGCTTTCCTTGACTGTGTCCACACACCTGGATTATATTTTGGCAAGAAGGATCAGGGGTTGCATTAGGGCTGGATTTAATCCCTGCTTATGTTTTTCCTGCTTTTTAATCATGTAAGTCAAGCATTACAGAGACCAATAACTTAACCACTAATCCCAACTCATTGATTTTCAAAAGAAATACTCTCTTCTCTCGAGCTGAGATGAGCTGCAAGGCGAGGCAGGTTTCCCAACATCTCCCTGACATCTGGGTTCTCCTTCAGCCCATGGACAACCTTTTCCCCACACATACTTGTGAGCCAGCAACAAATATCTGAGCTTCAGAGAACTGCTAGAAGATGGGAAAATCAATCAGAGCTTACCAATTTTTCATGCAGTGAGGGAGATCTAAGTTGGATGTGAAGAAAACTCATAGAAAGTGAGGATACCTTAATGCTGTAATAGCTTGTTTTGACAAGAGGGGAGTTTCCATACAAATGTTACACGTAGTCATCCTGCTTTTGGGGTGGAGAATGGACTGGAGCAGGTCTGCAAGCGTGATGCAGTCAGCAGGGTGTTGCACCCAGCTGCCATCTCATCCCGGAGAGGCTGGCATCATCGAGGAGAGCACGGGTTGCTTCTCACCTCTGACAGACTGAACTCTGCGGGTGAGTTCATAGCCAGATTTCCTGCTTTAGGGTCTCACCATAGGATAGCTGGAAGAACATCAGGCAAGTAATTGTCTGAAAGACAGTAGGAGCTGGACCATAAAACAGCAAATGCCACATTCCTTTCATCTCTGTACCAACAAAGTGAGGGAAATGAGAGGAGTAAGTGAAAAGGCAAAGCTGCCTACTCTCTTTTTCGGTTGTGAAAGCAACAGAAAGTCTGAACTTCTGCTGTCTGTGGGAAATAGGGTGGCAAGGTAGGTGAGCACGGGTCAGCTCTGCTCGTTTGTAACAAACCAAACAGAAATGGGTAATTCTGAGGCATTGTTGACACCTCTCTCCCCAGCCAAGTCATGCTCTCAGTTTACACATTCGCAGCTTGTTAGGACCTTAACTGACTTTGAATCTTGGGCGTGCCCGAGTGTGCAGACGGGTTTCAAAATACCCAGTGCCAGAAACCAGGCAGTCAAGCCTGTCCACTCTGCTGCACTTACAGTCTGGCTGGCAAACGCTGCTGCTGCTGCTGATTCAGAGCTCATAAAAGAGGTTCTCTGCTTTCAGGAGCCGCGTAAGAGCTCAAGGAAGAGACTGAGGATGGACTTTTCTCATTGCTAGGTTGTCACAGCCTTTGCTTGCTGCTCATGCCCATACCTTCCACAGAAGGGAGCTGGTCACTGGTGCCCTCCGTTCTGGCCAGTTTTCATGAGCTCAGGATGGCAAAGCTGCGTGTGATCCCTGCCAAAGTCGTGTTTTGGAAGCAGGACTCTCACCCCAGAGCTCTCGAGAGAAACATTTGAGATCAAAGGATCAATTCCCATCCAAATTACACAGTAACCCTTGACCAGCTTTCTGGAAAGTAACCCCACCGCTCCGCTCTGCCTCTAACCAGCGTGTGGCCAATTGAGGGCAACTCACTGCACTTTTACAGGTCCCATTCTCCAAAGTCAGTAATTATTCTCCTTGCCTTAAGAGATGGAGAGGCTGAATCACACCGAGACGACCAGCCCCAGGCCTGAACACAGGAAGAGCTGTCCCTGTGCACATCCTCAGTGGAGCGGTACCCAGCGCGTTCACCTTTGCTCTCGGGGGGCCGCCAGTTCAGCTGGAAACCACAGGGCTTCTGGATGACGTTTTCCTCTCCTCCCACTGAATCAGCCTTTTATTTACTCTCTGGAATGCAAAGTAACAGGACACCCTGTGAGTTTTTTATCTCTCTCCCAATCTTTTGTATCGCTGTCAAAGTTGCCCGACCGGATCGAATGTTTTAGCTGGGGAGATGGGGTGGTTTCGGGGTTGTCTGGCAGGAATCTGGGTGGGAGGGCACTGTCGGTGAAATTTGAATTTCAGAGTCATGCTGGGAACAGAAGCTTTGAGAGACACTGCAGGGAGGAAAGCCCTTTGTCACCGAATCAGTGTGGATGCAGGGTGCTCCTTTTCGGAGCTGGAATTACTGGGCAGTGCCTCCACCAGAAGCTGTTTCCCCGCAGGCAGCCTGCCTGGGTTCCCTGTGTAAGCAGCTGCGTTTTCCCTGCTTTCACATGGATGGCATTCCCAGGGCTGGGAGCTGATGCGGAAGTATCCTGCCTGTTCAGAGGGTGTTTGCTGCTCCCGGTCTCCTTCGGGACTCTCTTGGGGGTCGAGCTCACGGAGGGTTTAAGTTTTGCGACTCGCATACGGTTCTGACAGAGACGGAGCCGATTCTCAGATTTCAGCAGCGCTTTCCTTCCTCCTAAAGGCGTGTTAAAGCTCGACTCGCTGCTCTCATAATGCTGCTGCGGCCACACTGAGACCAAGAGACAACGTGAGGAGGAGGCGGCGGCGGCAGCTTTTCTCGAATGAACTGATACAGGTGGGAAGAAACAGAGGCTTTGTTGCTGGCTGCTGCCATTGCATGTGGGTAAGTGGCTTGATTTTTATGTTTCAGTTACATCTTTCCTCCTAGTGACTTGGCTCAGCATCCTCCAGTCAGGTTAAGGAGACACATGCAAGTGTGTCACTGCAAAAGTTCATGGCAAACTGCTTATGGGGAATTGCTGCGTTGATGTTTTGGGACTGTACAGTGCCCAGAAAGAGGGGGCCTTCATCTACCGTGGTGATTTAGCAACACAGCCACAAAATAAATCACTGCTTTGGCAGCAGAGAAACGGGAATCCTGTTATTTAGGGCTCTAAACCAGCTGCCTCCCAGCCATATATTATTTGATATTTAGCATGTGTATTGCTTTCTTTTCCCCCCCTCTTGTTCAGAGAGCCAGTTGGGCTGATGAATTAGTTTGTAAGGTGTCGGTGGCTGGAACGACAGGAAACACCGGGCGTTCGCAGCTCTGTGTGAAACCAGGGCTTGTGGATCTTTGTGAGAGACACCTTGGGCCTCAAAGAGCGAGTCTGCATCTTGCCCTCAAGAGCCACATCCCAGTGTTTGCCTGGAGATGAGTCGATATACTGAAGAGGAGAAATTTGCAGAGACAAAGAGCGGTGGTTCGGCTGCTTTGCAGCTAAAATATCCTGTTTCATGGGGGTTTGAAGTCAGGCTGCAGCACCTGCAGTCAGCCAGGTAGGGAGTGGCTGTAAAACCCGAGCGCTGGGCAGGGTTGGGCATCAGCAGGAGAGCTGAGAGCAGCTCCTGACATCAGGCGGCCGTAGTTTCAGCGGGCTGACTAAGAGAGCCACCTTTTGGAGGGGAATACCTTAAATCCGGAGGTACTTCCTGCTGTGTGGGGCTCAGCTGAGGGGGCAGGGAAGGCGATGGCAGGAGGATTTCCATAAGAGGACAGGAGTTACGTTGTGTTTTCCACCTTTAAAAGCCCTCTTTCAAACCCGTGTTAGAGCATCCTCAGGACCCAGGGCTTTGCTGCTGGTCACTCCTTCTCTATGGGCATCATTTAATGTTAGACCACGCAGTCCCTGGGGTGAGAAACACCCCGTGTGCCAAATTTGGATGCAGATGTGATTTCTGCTGGACTGCATCGTGCCTTTGCATTTTGCATCTGGGCTCCTTTGTTTGGCAGGGAGATGGCTCATTCCTAAAGCTCTGTAGCCTGGTTTCAGGCTGGGATAAAGGCAATATTTAGCTTTGGCAGCCCTTCAGTGTACCAGGTATTTTGGGGAACAGGGGGTAAAATGGGCTGTGCGTGCCAGAGGGTGTTGCAGCGGGGTTTTGTAGCATGATAGTTGTTGTCACCTGAGAAGGTATAAGACCTTGGGTACGTAAAGCTTTGCCCTAGAAACTGTTGTGTACACGAATGCTGACTGCGGGGCGGCTTTTGTCGGTGAAGAACAGATTTTTGTGGTTTCATGTACAAAACACGTGGCAGAAGGGGCTCTGGATTACGGGCACGGCTTTTTGGCCACGACGTTTCCCTTCCTTTTCCCACGCCCGCCCTTGAAGCGGGAGAGGCGGGGGCCATAGCCGGACACGGGGGGGCCGCCGGAGCCATAGCCGGACACGGGGGACCCGCCGGGTGTTTCCGGCTTCTCGTACCTGCACAGAGAGGAGGGGCCGGGCACGGTGCCGAGCCAAGCCGAGCTGTGCCGTGCTGAGGCGAGAAGCCACCGCGCCATGGCGTCCTGAGCCGGCGCCATGGAGCGGGGCCCCACGGATGCCGGTGCCGTCATGAGGTACAGCGCCCAACCGCAGGTGAGAGCGGCCGCTGGGACCTGGGGGGTGACAGCAGAGCTCTCCCAAAACCTTTCACTGAGCTGCCTCGTCCTCTGCTCGCTCCAGTTGATTTGAGCCTCATGGGTCAGGACTGATCCGGGTGTCTCTGGATCCCTTGGGATCCCCCTTTGCCCTGGGGTAAGGTCTGGAAAAACCTGTTTGGGGGACGCCCAGCGGAGCAGGAAGAGAAAAAGCAGCTTTGGGAAAGTGGAAGTCCCCGCCGGTCTGCGCCAGCGTTAGACCGCCTCGATGGCAGCGCTAACGTCGCTGCGACGGTTCTGATTTCGGCTTGAGCCAGGCGCTGGGGATGTGAGTAAAGAGAAATTACACCGAGGTGAATTGTGTGCAGTGTGTGGGGCTGGGTTGTGTAGCAACAGACCCAACTAAACCTGTTGGAGCCGTCGGCAGGGCTGGCTTGAACGGAGGGCTTTGGGGCTTCATTAGTTAACTGCTGCGCTGATCAGCGTGCTTTGAAACTTGAGCCGTGGTCTTGGCTTTTCCTCTAAGGGCAGAGACTGTTGGTTTTGGGTTGTTCTGTGCCACAGAGCTGTTTCAAAACTGGGCTTTGAGATTAAAGTGCGACAGCAGCGGTTTCCAGCTCACCTGCAGGCTGCCTGCTGTCAGTCTCCTGGCTTTAGCGGTCGTTATCTGGCAAAGGAGCTTTAGCACTGATGAGGAAGCTGGCCTACAGCAAGAAAAAGCTGCCCTCGCCTCCAGCCCCGCTGTCCTGCATGTGCCGTGGCCACGGTGACTGCCAGGAGATGCTCACACTGACACTGTTCAGCTCCAGCTCCTTGTTCCCTGGCCGGGTCGGGGTGACACCGTTGCAGGCAGTGTGATCTTCCCAGCATGGTTTATTCTCCTGCCAAAAGGTAGGTTTACGTGCAGGGCTGAGTGGTCGAGTGAGTCCTGTCATGTTTCCCCTGCTCCTGGATCAGTTTTCCCCCTGCATCGGTTCACAAGGAGCTGATCTGCTCCAGGAGGACTTCCCTGAAGTTGGTACCTGCTTTCTCGGCAGGAAACAACCCGAGGAGTTTGTCCCTCGTGGACCTACTGGGGTTGGACTTGGCTCCCTATAAATCTGTGTGAGTTGTTTTGCAATGACTGCGTCTCCTCCTGTGACGGAGAAGGAGCTCTCGGGCACAGTGAGGAGATACCGCTCCTCTTCCTTGGAAAGAGCTTTTCTCTGGTGGGTGAGCTGCTGCTCGGGCCAGTTTTGCTGCTATTGGTGCCAAAGGCGAGCAGGGATAAGGAAGGCACGATGAGAAAAAGGCTGAGGCCGACCGAGCGCGCTTAGACCTTTGCTCAGCAAACAAAAGATCACTTTGGAAAAGCATTGAGGGAGCAGCGAGAGTGGTTTGGAGGGCCTGGCTGTGCGGAAGGTATCGGAGCAAAGGTTCTCGCCTTGCCCAGGGTAGGAAATGCCGTTTCCATCCAAAGGCCGTGGCAAATAACTCACTGCGATATGGGAGTGATAGGCTGGGACGGAGGAGGGAGCAGCTGATGGGGATGGGTTTGAGATGCTGGTGTTTCCCCTTGTTGTTGCCCCCAAATATTCAAATAGCGTGGGCCAAATCCACCCCAAAGCTATAAGGATCGGTCAAGAGCGTGGGCGAAGTGTTTCGTCGAGGTCTGGAGCGCAGCTGGTTTGGGTAGGCTGCTGGAGGGTGTTTTTATTGCTCAGACAGTACTTTGTGTACAAGGAAACATGTACGAGTGTTTTAAATAAGTTATTTGCGTCTGTGGCATGTTTATCTTCTGGTCTTGGGACATAAGTGTGTCGTGGGGAGGAATTTCATGGCTCATAGGCACGCGTATCATCCTGTAATACAGCTTTCTTTCCCACTTCTCCCCCAAAATTGGGAAGATTTGAGTGTAAAAGCCTCTGCTCCCAGAAACACAGAAGCGTGGTGGTGTTTTTGGAGCTGATGTGTTGCAGGACACGGCTGCACTGCTAAGCCTGGTGTGAGCCAAGCCTGTGCTGTCCTCTGCAGACATTGACTGGAGTTTCTTCTGTAGTAAACCTCAAGGAATTTGGTTTCTCGGATGACTCAGGATGGTCACAGGGCGATTGAATGCTGCGGAGGGTTAGTGTGTGAAAGAGGTGTGTGTGGGACTTGCGTCTTCAGTTCTGGGCCCCTCACCATAAGAAGGATGTTGAGATTCTGGAGCGTGTTCAGAGAAGAGCCACAAGGATGGGGAGGGCTCTGGAGAACAAGCCTGATGAGGAGCGGCTGAGGGAACTGGGCTTGTTTAGCCTGGAGAAGAGAAGGCTGAGGGGAGACCTCATCACCACCTCCAACTGCCTCAAGGGAGGTTGTGGAGAGGTGGGTGCTGGGCTCTTCTCCCAAGTGATGGGGATAGAAGAAGGGGAAACGGCACCAAGCTGTGCCAAGGGAGGTTCAGGTTAGAGATAAGGAGGAAGTTCTTTCCTGAGAGGGTCGTCAGAAGCTGGAACAGGCTGCCCAGGGAGGTGGTGGAGTCACCATCCCTGGATGTGTTTAAAGAGCGGGTAGATGAGGTACTTAAGGATATGGTTTAGGGGGTAGACAGGAGCGGTTGGACGTGATGATCTCAGAGGTCTTTTCCAACCGAGCCATTCTGTGATTCTGTGTGATTCTTTCACTCCTGCGTTGCCCTCTGTGCCTGGAAGGCAGGCAGTCTGGAGGCCTCCGTGTCCTTAATTTCCTGCTCCATATTCCCCCCTCAGTTCAGATGCCATCATTTTATGGTGTCATTGCCCTGAATAAGGAACTGAAGCCGAAAACCAGCTTGCTGGAGAAGTTTCTGCAGTGCTTTACTGCCCATGTTGGGACAACACGGCACGAACGTGCCTGACGTAGCTGCTGTGCGTGCTGTTTCCGCGTAGTTCTTATCAAGAATAAGATGGGAAGCGAGTAGATCTTTCTTCTCAGATCCCATCCTGGAGGAGTGCTGGGGTTTGCAGCAGCATCAGTGCAAGAGTTGACCTCTGGAGCTGTTTGGGTGAAGCGAGCTGCTCGCTGTGCAACCATGTGTCAGCAGCTTTTAGATTTGTGTTCTTTTTTCGTATAGGAAACGGGCTGTTTCCTCTTATGCCAGCACCACAGAGCTGGTGGTAGCTTTCAGTATGAGCTGCGAAACGTCAGGCTTTGAAAATAGAAGTTTGCTGGCTCTTTCTGCATGGCACGAGCCCACCCTGTTGATCTCAAAGGCTGGGGTGTCCCAAACTCTGAGCCTGGCTTGGTGGCTGCGTCCTGAGTGGGTTGATGAGTCGATGGATTTAATCCCTTTCATTTCTTGTGTAGTATTTGGTTTATTTTTTATTGAACACTGCCTGGGGCAGGTGTGGCTGGAAAAGGGAAGGTGGGAATGGCCTCTTGGATGCACAGGCTGGGATCTGCAGGGGGTAATTACCCAGCAAGTGTTCAATCTCGTAGTCCAACCACTCTGCTTCATCTGAGACCTCCCCAGGCCACATCCAGGTTTGTGTTTTATGGGTTTTATAGGTTCCTTTTCTTGGCCATGTACATCAATGTCAGGCAGTGGGTTTTTGGCTGC